AAACTTATTTAGTTTATGTTCAATTACTATATTAAACCTTCATGGTGCAGACAATGTTATTGAGTAACAAAACAATTGCGTATGCATTTATTACTGTATAGCTATAAATTATATATTTATAATAATTTTTAGAATTACGGAGTTTGTAACTCACGAACCCCTCAAAGAGAGATAGGCCTTTATCGAGAAATTTCTTATTTATTTTAAATGGTAACAACAAGGCCAATGATAGTTGGGTACAACAACTAAAAAAGTGTCCTTGCTTAGGAAGCCGCAAGCGGAATTTGTCGAGTCGGAAAAGTCAACTTATGAGGCAACGCATACAAATATGGATTCCACGACAACGTAAAACTCATAGTTTAATTTATTACTTGTAGAAATTAGGTTTTTAAATAACTATGAGGTATTACATATTTATGCATTCTTTTTTGTTTATTTTACCATTATTGTTCTATTTGTAATAACATTTAAAGTTGCGGTATTGTGATTTATTTATAGAGACGAGACTAGTTTGCCTAAACATGGAGGTACAATTTATTCATGATTATTAAGAATTCATACAAGAAGAAGAAGAGGTGTGATTTATTATCTTTACATTTTCAAATTATACCGTAATGTATAATACAGCTGCGCTGGTCTTATGGCGCATTATAAATAATATAGGTTTTATTTTATTTATTTTATAATTTGTGTAAGGAAAAATGTTGCTCATAACAACCTAGACACCTGCACAAATCTGTCAGAAATGTATCGTAAAATCATTCTTTCGTGTCCATTATTATACTTTAAAATAACGCATCTGTTTTACTTGCTTGAAATACCGCAAAGTAAACATTTTACACTAACACATGAATGTGCAAAATCTGAACGCAAGTTGAGTTAATAGGCCTAAATAGAATGTGTAAGTGCATCATTATGCTTCACAAACACTGACCGATTATCTAAAAGCTAATGCGCCGTTTGGAGGCATTACGAATTTATGTTAATATTCTTACATGTAGATAAAATATAGGCCTAAAGAAATTAAAAATTACTTTTAAAAAATTGCATTGAGCCAAATATCCATTCGTGGAACACTTAACATTCTTCAATCTTCGCAACCTTATGATACGACAAAAACTTATTTAGTTTATGTTCAATTACTATATTAAACCTTCATGGTGCAGACAATGTTATTGAGTAACAAAACAATTGCGTATGCACTTATTACTGTATAACTATAAATTATATATTTATAATAATTTTTAGAATTACGGAGTTTGTAACTCACGAACCCCTCAAAGAGAGATAGGCCTTTATCGAGAAATTTCTTATTTATTTTAAATGGTAACAACAAGGCCAATGATAGTTGGGTACAACAACTAAAAAAGTGTCCTTACTTAGGAAGCCGCAAGCGGAATTTGTCGAGTACAAAGTGCAAACCACAACTGCGGCCAGCCTTCACGGTAGCCATCCTGAAGACAAATATGGTTTATTTCTATCATATAATATTAAGACATGGGTTTAATATTAGGTCCAAGAGATATTACATACTTGTGTGTAAATCATTAAAAAATAGGCTGATTACATACATTTTTTCATATACTGCTAGATGCTATTAAGAATAAACACTTTTTGTATTTATTTGTTAGGCCGCCCGGCACACACTGCGACGTTCGTCGTCGGCCGACGCAATTCCATGGAGAACGGAATGCGACGGGGAGGGGGGGGGGGGTGCGCAACGGATTTTATTGGCGATATACTAAGATTGACGTCGACAATCAGCAGACGGCACTACGGTACGTCTTTAAACACCTATAGAAAGAAGAGAGATGAATGTATCGGTCGACGGTCGTTAGATCGCCACCGTGCGCACTCTGCCTTACGTTGCGCTTTTATGTTTAATTTTCTTTAACTTGTCATATATTTTTATATTCCATTATCGACAAGATCGAGTGAAACGAAACGTTTAAATGTTGAGCTGTTTTTCAGTCGTCATGATAGTATTATCCTACCATCTGAAAAATGTTTGAAAGCATATTTAATTTATTTATGGTCTATTAATTATAGGGCCTACATTGGCATATAAGCCTGCTTACCTTTTATTTTAATCCAATTTGCAAATTGTTTTAGGTTTGACTTGTGTATTGTGTCTAGTGATTTTAATCTGTAAAACAGGACCATATTATAAACAAGTTAATCACTGATTGTGTTATCCTGTATAAATATGTTTTTAAATCAATAAATATAGAAAGGAGAGTAGTTTGAAAGTGTATCGCGGTACCACTTCAGTTTCATTCATTTTTCAAAATGTTCGATTATTAACAGGGGCAAGTGAGTTGGAACTTTTAAATGTGAAGTTCCTTCCTGTTCGCTCAACATCCACCTTCTTGCCAATTCTTTCACAGGCAGCAGACTTGAATATGCCAATCATTTTAATTTATTTTAACTATTAGTGTTTAAAACATACATTTGCATTTTGGCGCTATTTAAGTACCGACACTTAATTGATTGATTGATT